GTACAAACTTTACAGCCTTTACGTGAGTTTCTTGCACAACTGAAAGAAGAAGGTAGTCAGCCACAACTTATAGACTTTCATTATGAATTTAATGAAAATGAAGATGGAACTCATGACTGTCAATTCATTGTATTCTCACCATTCAATGAAGTCGCTAAAAAGAAAGAAAATCCATTACGTATAAGATTTCAAATCTCCGAACCAAGTGATGATTTTAAGAATGTTTTCAATTATGATGCAATGCTTCCGAGGAAAAATGAATTTTCAAAGATTGTAACACCTGGCATTTGGGATAGAAAGCAAGCAATACTTTACTCTAATATAGCCAAAGGCGTTGAAAATGAGTTCATTGGTCATACAAGAACTTCACCACTTCCTAACCCTAAATACTATAAATTAACTGGCTTCAATCGTGAGTTTTGGATAGACATGTACTCCACTCATGACCATAAATGTCCAGTGTTCTTGCCTCCAGATGGGAAGGACTGTCTCTACATTGAAGCACAACTCTTAAACTCTACCATCGCAGTATTGTAAAATCTACGCTAGCTTTATTTTTATCACGAATGACCTCATTGCTGACAAAAATAAATGACCTCAGAACTTCAACTTACGAATAAAGCTTGTTTTAGTCGTTATTGAAAAGTTGAACTTTTCAGCAAAGCAAGGTTGACATGACTTACATAAGTCGAATGCAATCTCTTGACCATCATGAAGTGCTTTGTAAAGTTTCATTAAACTGAACTCAGAGTCTTTGTCATATGTTCCAACAGGTATGTGAATGTTCTTATCTTCATTGTAATAGCATTGTATAGCTTCAGGAAACATTTCATTAGCGGTTAAAGCAATAACATCTTGCTTCACGCCTTTCATTCTGCAGTGAAATGCAACTTCATTTAAATCGTTAGTGAGTAAGTCTATGTAGGTCTTCTTTCCACAGAAAATACTTTTATAAGCTAAACTTTGTTTTCCAGGTGTTATTTCTGCAAAGTCGCTATGAAATTGACCAAGGTTCTTTCCTATAAGTTCGCGACCATATCTCTTCTTAAACTCTGCTGCAAGCTTTGGGATGTCTTCATTATATAAGTGCATACTGTCGGTATCCTGGTAAAAGATTTGAAGTCCCATGTCCTCTGCAGTACAGAATACTTCATTCATAATACGTTTTGACATAGACAGAATATTAACACCAAGTGGACAGAAGTTAAAGTGTCTGCAAATGCTTTTCGTTAGCTTGAAAATAGTTTTATCTGAACCATCCAAACCTTCGAACTTCACTATATGGTTGTAATTTCTTATAGCATATCTTATAGCATCTTTGTCATCTACTATGGTTATTTTTGACTCAATAGGAGATAGAATAGTTTTGCCATAAATGCTGTTCAGAATGAGTTTTATAATTTCTTGTAAGGGGTTTTCTTCTTTCTTATACTTTAACCTTAACTCAAACAACTTCTTTACTTCATCTCTTATTCTCATATCTCTGTTTCCATCGTAATAGTATCCTTGCAACACTTCACATTTGACACCTTGATATTTTATGAGGTCTTGTAATGTTATATGGTCAACATACATGAGACAGCAAGTGTTTGAACTTCTTGGAACGTTAAGTTCTGGATTTAGTTCAGGGTCGCAAACTATTAAATGAAAGTGTCTGGGTATACCAATCTCTGTTATCTTAATGAGAACAAAGAAGCCAGACATAAACTTTTCACCAATGGGTTCCTTTTGGTCGTCATCGAATAAATGTCTCATGAGATACTCTGTGCTTAACATTTCTTCCTTCAATACTTTTGGAATACCTTCTAAAGTATAAAGTCTTGCTATAGCTGAAGGATATAATGAAACAGTGTCGAAGTCAGCAATGAGTTTCTTTTTGCTCTTTTGTTTCATGTTATCTGACAACATACATCTTCCACCTTGAATGCATCTCGAAATAAATTCTCTTGGTTTATTTGAGAGGTCATAAAGATTTCCATTCGGGAAGTATACTCTGTTCTCAAACAATTTGTTAGCAATAGAACAAATACTAACGTAGTCATAAACGTTTAAATCAAACTCTTTCAATAAGTCATTGCGGAACTTTACAAAACCTTCTCTTAAAATTCTTACATCTTGTTTGCAGTAAAACGTGCTATATTTTTCTAAGTCGAAGTGGTTTTCATCTATTCTGCAACCTTTGATGGAATCTATGTTCTTCATAAATGTATCTGCATCATGGATAAACTTACATGCTTCAGAAATGACACCAGTTCTGTTGTCATTTGCTAACAAAACACTGCTGTAGTAGTTATATGGAAATACTTCTTTCGGTCCTGTTTGTAAGTTAAACATAGCAGGAAATAGTTTAAGCTTCTTATTTATAACACTGTAAGAGTCTTTTATAATAATTGCCCTTCCTTTATATAAACCAGTTATTTGCATTGTTCGTGAACCTTTAATGATGGGAGTTCCTTTCACTTCTGTCATGTGTCTTAAGATGAAGTTTATGTCATAACTGAGGTTATGGAAATATATTAAACTCTTGTCAGGAAGTCTTTCCAAAAATTCTGTTGCACAGTTTTGACCCCAAATACTTTCACTAACTGAACCATCTTCACTGTCATAACAGATGTTAAAAGCTTTATGAAAGCCATCCGTACTACACTCAAAGTCAGCAAAGAAAACGTGCTCAGGTATGAACTTACATTTAGCTTTATTTACTTCTTTTGACTCTGCTTTCTTCTTCAGTTGTACACAATACTTTGGAGCATATGTCAAATCTTTAAATGGTGCAAGGTTCTGTTTATATAAGTCAGTCGTATATGTGAAAAGTTCTCCATAAGAAATAGGTTCAAAATATTTGCACTCCCACAATGTTTTCATAACATCCCATAGCGGTGTAGTTCTATCCATGCGAACTACATATTTATCTTCTCTCTTTGTATATATTTTCATCTGTTTTTCAATGTTCATTCCACCACACTCCTTCAAGATTTCTATATAGTTTCGAATGAAATATGTTGTCATTGGAAGTCTTTCATTTAGCATGTAGTGGTCTTCAACAAGAAGTAAGTCAATAGTTCTAACAGTTTCACATTCTTTTGGTATGTATCTCTTTATTTCATTATGTCTTGAGTCATTGAAGTAACCAATGGTAACATTAAATGCTATACCTGTTGCGTCAGAAATTTCTTGTACTTTACTTTGAGGAAAGTCTCTAACACGAATGACTTCTCTCATGTGGTCAATAGTTTCTTCATTTACTCCAGCCTGAATGCAAGCATAAACGAAACAATTGTCTTCTGTCATAAGTGTTGCAGTTCTTTTGTTCAGTTCATTGAAGATTTGGTAGCGTTCAAGATTTATAGGTAATGTGCAAAGATACTTCCAGAACTGACCGCTTCTCTTCTTATAAAACTTCTTTTCACCATTATCTTTCCAAAAGCTTTCTATAAGTGCTGGGTTTCCTGTTTGCTTAAGAGCTTCCAAAATGGCTTTCTGGTCATTTGTCAGTGTGCTTTCATCTCTATATGGTCTCTTTTTTGGTTTGCCTTTCTTTACATCTGACATCGTTAAGCCTTCATATTCTGTTAAATCATACATCTTTATTTCGGTAAGATTCTTTATGTTTGTCAAGAAGAAGTCATAGTGCATTTCAACAATACCTGCAGCATTTGCTTCTATCTCTGATATAAAGTTCTCCTTCAAGAGCTGATGTAGTAATGTTCCAATATTATTGAGGTTTAACGTAGAACATTCATACTTTCCACCAAGTTTATAACATACCATCCATCTCTGTTGGGAGTTTATTTTAATTTTCTCTAAGAGTCTCATGAAAACCTTACCGAAATGTTTGTGTAAGTAGTCTCTGTTTGGTTCATCTAAAGCTTCGATGTTAAAGTCAATGAGTCTATTGCCTGACTTCACATTCCTCTTCCTATTTTCTTCATCTTTCTTTAACCATCTCTCACCTTCTTTTGGTTTGTCGTCAATGGAACGAATGACATTATTAGCTTTGCGAACTTGTTCTATAGCACTTTTAAACATCTCTCTTCTCTGTTGTTTCAGTGTGTCATCTCTCTTTCGTGTTTCACCAACGTTTGCATTTGTTATGTCAAACATTTCTCTTCTTACTTCATGTGGTACAGCTCTTCTTGTTTCACCAACGTTTGCATTTGTTATGTCAAACATCTCTTGACGAACGTCATGTGAAAGAGCTTTACGAGTATGACCAACGTTTGCATTTGTTATGTCAAACATTTCTCTTCTTACTTCATGAGGTATTGAACGTCTATGATATAAGTCAATAGCAACGTCATTTAAAGGAAATGCTCTTGCATGGACTTCGTCCTCGCCGCGTTGCGGCTTTATGAACTCATGAATTCTATCATAAGTTATTTCACCATTATAGTCATTGAGGATGTCAGCGAGTGCCTTTTTGTTTGTTGTGTAATGCTTTGCAACATCTATATTAGCTTCTGTAAGAAGTTGTTTTATTTCCGAGTGTTCTAACTTAGACAACTTCCGATACATCTTTAGTAGGAAATAAAAAAAATATTTTTTGAAAAAAATAAACTTAGAAAAATTATTTCTTTCTATATTTGCCATTCCGAACTTCGAAAAGATGTTTTATACCAGCATAGAATTTTTCTCTAGAGCTTGGTCTTATATTGTTTTCATGACAATATTTTCTATATTCTTCATATAAAGCCTTTTTTTCATACATTTCATAAGGACAATCTAACCAGAATAGTGCATATCCAGTTTCGTTATCTAGGTCTCTATATGTTTCTTCTGTTTGTAGAATTTCGCTTTCTTCTATTTGTAGAATTTCGCTTTCTCTATTTAGTTCTATGACTATATATTGTGGCTTAAAAAGATGTGGGCAAGAAGGGTCTGGCGCTATGTAAAAAGTTAATTTTTCTGTCATCTTTTCTATCGGATAAAAAATATTTTTTGAAAAAATTAGATTAGATTTTTTAAGTTATTTTTCAAAATAATTTAATATTTTTATTTTAATGAAACACATGCAAGATTGCAAGTTCTTTTCATACAATGCTCTCGCTACTGTCATCAAGAATGAGTTCAATAATGCTTCAAACGTCAATGTTATCTTTAACAAGAAGTTTGTGAAAGAATCTAAGTTTGGTCAGTATGTCAGACCATTAGCTATTGTCATTGACCGCAAACGTTATACTTCACAAGAGTTAGCAGTAGTTTTGAAACAAAAGGGTTTCTTCGTGAATGTCAAAGATACTCATTATACTATTATAAAGAACTCCAACATTGACTTCTTCAGTATTGCTATGAATCTTTCCGAACAGAAAGAATATAAGAAGGGTGAAACAAATGTGAAATATTATTCTTCATCTCTGAAAACAATAACGAACAAAGATGTTATACAAAAGTTCCTTACCAAAGGTTGAAGAAGCTTCTATTGACATTGACGAAGGAAGTGAAATGGTTGAAGAAATTGACCCTGACGTCATTTAAGCAAAAATATATTTTTGGTTAGTCTTCATATCGATATTTTACAACAATTCCCCAATGTATAAACTTTTCATACGCTTTTTCATAAGCTTTATATACCTTCAGAAATTTTGCATAATCTTTAGAAGCATTTAGATATTGTTTAAATGCTTTGTATGTCTTCAGAAATTTTGCATAATCTTTTACATGTTGTTCGTTCTCTTCTTCTGTCATGAGTTCCGAATATTCTAAATTCATGTTCTTTCATATGAGATAAAATTTTATAAAAAAATAAAATTAGCTTAGATTTTTTTATTCTTCCTCTTTGAAGTTATCGAAATATTCTGTTATTTTTTCCTTCAGTAATGTTAAGTCTTCTTTGAATGTAAGTATTGTGCAACCTTTGATGTCATAGTGTGTTTGAGGAAGAGTATTTTTGACAATTTCCTTTATTTGCTCATTCGGTGTCATTGAAATCGGTAAGTTTTCACGATAGAACCAGTTTCTGTCAGATTTGTAAATCTTAGCAAGGTCATAAAAGCTTTTGTTGTTTCTTCTGACTAAATGCAACATAACCATATCTTTATCTTCTTCTTTCTCCAACTCTTCAGTATATATCATATACTTATAACTCTTTTCCTTTCCTTTTGGTACTGAACGTGGTATTCTTTTCTGTATGCTTTTGTCTTTGGATTCAATGACTTCATCTTTTGCTTGAAGTTTCTTTTCCATCTCTCCACGTTCTTGTCTATGAATTTCGTCAAGAAGTCTGTAAACATGCCATGCATAACGAGGAGAAGCCCACATTGCAACTGCATTTACTAAAAGTCTATGAACATAATAACCTCTTAAATTTATTGGCAAATTTTTACGATTTTCATGTGTTTTATGCAAGACCGAAAAAAGTCGGTCTAGAGAAATTTCACTCAAAAGTTCTTGTGTGCTTTGGTTTTTGAACCAGTCGTCTGCGTGTTTAGTGTCTGGAGCAAAACATGCTGTCAAAATACTTTGCATTTGGTACATATCGTCTTTGACCGAACGAATGAGACGGAGTTGTTTGTTAAACTGAACCCACTCGTATTCTTCATTTATGGCTTCATGAACGATAGCAGTTGTTGTGTTCTCTGTTGTTGACATATCTGTCCTTACATACAAAATAAAAAAATAAATAAAAATAAAACTAACTTTATTTTTCTGTGTTAAAGAAATGTTAAAAATTCAGGGTTACATATGTGAAAAGAAGTCACGAACAAATGAAGGTCATAAGATTCAGCACATAATTCTGAATTGAATGGTGTGTCATACATGTCAAGCCGTCAAGAATTGAAGGAGATACGAGGCTATAAAGATTTTGGATATTTTCTGACACACACCCTGAGGGAAAAGTGACAAAACACGACGATAGAAAAAAGTGACAAAATTGAGAGAAAGTTGTTTCCCGACCAAAATGCAATCATGTTGAAAAAGTGACATTTGTAAAGTTAGACGATAGGATTTCCTGAAAAAGTGCAAGACTTGTTCTGAATCAGGACAAGATTTGTCTTGTATGAAAAAATACAAGACTTGTTCTGATCAGGACAAGATTTGTCTTGAAAAAATACAAGACTTGTTCTGAAAAAATACAAGACTTGTTCTGAAAAAATACAAGACTTGTCTTGAATCAGGACAAAACTTTACAAAATGTAAACTTTACATAACCGTTTCTATCGTACATGATATTTAGTTGACATTGTAAACTATCTTCATGTAAAGTATGGCGGTTTGAAACCGTCGGGAACCTTCACTTTTTTGACGAACTTTCCGCAGCAATTTTTAAAATTTGTGAAAACTCAACGGTTTGACACGTGCCATATGTCATTTTACTCAGAATTTTGTGCTGAATTCAGCAAAAATAATGTTTATGTTAGCATGTTAGATCTAACACGTTTTCTAACCTCTTTTCTAACATAACTATTTACAAGCGTTTTACATGGTATATGTTGCGATGGTTCATGACTTTAAACAGTTTTGTAGCTTCTATTTCTTCTTTTAGTACATCGAATGTTTTAACAATGCCGAAGGTTTCTTTATATTTCTTCTTGACGTCAGATAGAAGGAAATCGTCAGCAGTTGGATAATTTTTGTTCAGAAATGCTAACATGTCCATTTTATCTTCTGCTGGCTTTTCTACTTCTTTCTTTAAATCTGCATAGTCGTTTCTCATTCTTTCTATCTCTTTGACGGAGTAGTTATATTTCCTCATCGCTGCCTTACATTTTGAACATTGCGGGTTCATTTTTGCGTTATACATTGAAATTTGACCTGCTAAAACAACTAAGGCGTCAATTGCTCTCTTCATCTCAAACATAGCGGGTCTTAGTTGTTCGTTCCATACTTTGCCTCTTCTATCTTTATCTCTTATTTCCCAAACACATTCAGCAACTAATGAAACAAAGTTATCGTAGGTCTTAAATTCTTCAGATTTATATATGTCAGAAACATTCTTATAAACCATGTCGCAATCTTTGTCCATAACTTTATGGTTGCAATGAAAACCAAGGAATTCATAATTTACTTTACGTATGAACTTCTTTATTTCTACTGAGTCAGTTGTTTTGACTTCAATTTCGTCGAATTCAGGAATAGTTAGTTTTTGTTGTTGGATTTCAGGCAATTTGGGTAAATGGTCAATAATGTCCTGCATTTCATAAAGATACTGTTCATTTGTTTCATCTTTCGCACTACAGTCTAAATTACTTGTTAAAAGTTCTTGCTTTATCTTCTGGATTTTTGTTTCGAAAGTATATGAAGAAGGAATGAAGCTTTTCATCTCTACTAACATAGATGTTGGATTCATGACTAACGAGTTTTGGTGCTGTAGTTTGAATTGTTGTTGTGCCGATTGTTGAAATCATATCTTTACATACAAGATAAAAATTTTTCTTAGAAAAAAATTAGCGTTATTTTTCTTTCATAAGGAAATGTCAAAAATTCATGATTTTCGAGAGTTTTAGACCATGTTAGAAAAGTGGTTAGAAAACGTGTTAGATCTAACATTCTAACATAAACATTATTTTTTGGTGTAAATAAATGGTACCATTAATGATATCATGACTGTTCTCATTCATGTCTGATTTACATCTAATGAAAAAGTTTAGAAGAATTTTCTTATTCTTTCTGGCATATTTTTGTCTTTCCAGTACTCCCGCTCTAATGGTCCCAGATGTGTTGGCTTTGACTCTCTCAAGTTCTTAGATGGTATAACATCTTCAACACCTCCTTCATATCTTACTTTATAAGTGTCATCGTTTATGTTGTAGCCAAGTATTTCAATAACCACTCCTCGCTTTGCTTCGTCAATGGTTTCAGCAAGTTTGCCATTACTACTTTCAACTAACTTATGTCGAGGGTAAAATGCTATGGAGTCGTCAGCAGCTTTTATAAGATATCCATTACCTTGTGTAGAGTCTACGATATAATAGTTTCTACTTAACCTTAAACGTTTCTTTGTCAACGGTTTGTCGTCAAGTCGTCAAGAACTACACGAACTTTTGTACCAGGAATGAGGGTAAATTGTGTTGAATTTCTGATATTTTGTGTTTGGCTTCGTTTCTTTTGTATATACTTTTCTTCTTGTTGTTGTGTCATTGAATTTGGTGTATGTCCTGTTGTAGAATGTGTTGAGGAATTATATACTTCGAGAAAATGTTTCATTGTTTCTTCGGTAAAGTCTCGCTCTTGATTTAAATCTCTGAGCGTTCTTATGAAGCGGTTTATGATGCCGAGTATGTTATGGTTATGGTCTTCAGTAGTGTAGTGAGTTATGTTATGCTTAATGAGAAATTCTGTGATTTCATTGCTGAGGTATGCACTGTCTTGGTCTGATGTTAAAGTACTTGGGTTATGTTCTGCTACAAACTTTTGTAAAACTCTTAACACTTCACGAGTTCCTTTATTTTTCATTGGATATGCATATGCTTTACGAGTGTTAACATTTATGAAGATGAGGAATGGTTTATGTCCTCCTTTTCTGCTTTGAATGAGAGTGTCAAATTGGTATGCGTCAGGAGTGTTGGAGTAAATTGGTAAAAAGTAGTCGTAAGGGTTTATTTTTGTTTGATGTACAACATTTTTGTCAAAGAACCTTTTCACTTCAGCTCTGTTAGTAAATCCCCAACTCTTTGCAGCTTCATTGAATTTCTTAAATGACCTCCATGGATGTTGTTCGAATACTTCTTTCAAGCTCATTTATGTAAAGTTAAAGATTTTAACCAACTCGTATCCAAGCGTGCATTGTTATATAAGGAGGCATATAATCTTTTCCATTACCTGCTGGGTCTGTAATACCAGCTACAACATGTGTATGATTTCCTGCAGTTCCACAGAAAATACCTGTGCTGAATCTTGGGTCAGTTGTGATATCATATCTATGCATTCCCTGTCTATCCGAACCCGCTGCAAGATTTGTATAACCTCTTTTTGTTATTGAATGTGAATGGTTTCCTTCCACAGATGTTCTTCCACTGAACCTATGCATATGTGAAGGAAGGTTTTCAATACCTATTTTCTTTGAACCTCCCATCTTCATTGACTGAGTATTAGTGTAGAATGGAAAACTGTCAACTATTTCATACCATCTACCACCAAATAAAGTGTTTGGATTTATTGGATTCATAGACGTATAAACAGCTCCTATAGGATATATTAAATCATATATGCTCATAACTCTATAAACATATTCTAAAGAACTTATGTCATTAAATACCATTTGGAATGTATCTCCCGGATGAAATGTTGCATTTGTTCCACTTTTATAATGTAATGTTAGTTCAATAGAATTATCCAAGAAAAATTCAAAAGTATCTGGTTGAAGACCTCTAACAAATTCAAATGGAGTTGCTGGTTCACCATTTATAATTTCTGTTGTAAATGTCATTGTATCTGGTTTCGAAAATTTCTTTGTTAGTTCTTCATCACATAAGTTTTGTCTGCTTTCTTATCTAACATTGTTGGTAGTTCATATGCTTCAAAGTTTCTGGCATGACTTTCAATGTTCCTGCAACTCTTATCTAAACTGTTAAGAGTATCTTTTACGCTTGTACTTGGATTTTCTAATGGTGCACTTGAACCAAGGTCAAAGTTCAATATTATGTCGTCTGCTCTAACAGTAGTGAAGGATTTATGTGTATGGTTCTTGTCAGCTTTACTGTCTAATGTAGCTTGAAGTTCATTTATATCGGAGATGTTGTGTTTATGAGATTTCAAAACTTTGTTCGTTGCTTCGAGTTCAACTTTGTCAGCTTTACTTTTAATAGCATCTTCAAACGTTATTTTTGCCTTAACTCTTAACATAAATCTTGGTTCAACTAATACACCGTTAACATTGAAAGTAGAGGCATAAATTTCACCGGTATAACCAAATGCTTCTGGTGCTTTAGCTACATCATACTGTACAGTACAGCTTATGTCATAACCTTTAGCACGAATGTATTTATATCTTCTTTCATTAACATTTTTTGTCTTCGCTTCATCACTTCGTGTTAAATATCCATGGTAGTCCGTTATAATCTGTTCGTCTGAAGTTATATAATGAACATGGTTCTTGTCCGCTTTACTATTTAATGTAGCTTGAAGTTCATTTATATCGGAGATGTTGTGTTTATGAGATTTCAAAACTTTGTTCATTGCGTCAAGTTCATTTTTGTCCGCTTTACTATTTAATGTAGCTTGAAGTTCATTTATATCGGAGATATTGTGTTTATGTTCTTTATCTGCTTTTTCGGCTAATTTCTCTTCTATCTCATTTATTTCAAGTTCATGCCTACCACCACCTCCCGAAGAAGTATTTTTCTTCAGCTCTTGAAGAACGTCCACTTCGCCATCTTTGGTGTCAATAATGAGACTTTGAGTTAAAACCTTTCCTGTCTTAATGGATGTTTGTAAAACTTCTTCTTCACCATGTTCGGGGTCATGGTCGTCATCATATCTTGTGAAATCAGAGATGTTGTCATACATTAAGCATATCTGTCTCAAAAGTTCTGCTATTTGAAACTGGAACGAAAGATATACAGAACTTTCATCATCTCCTAAAGTCAAGTCTGCTTTCTTAAGTATTTCTTGAATGTATGCAATGAGAACAGAGTACCTTGGAAAATATTCGAACAATATTTCATTAGCTGTTGGTTTTGGTGGTTCTTTTACTTCTGGAGTTTCTGTTGTTTCATTCCTTCTGTAGGTTTTGTGGAGTTTTCTGCATCTCTTGACTTCAATGCTTTGCTCTCAAAGACCTAAATTTAGAGCACCGGGTTTTACAAAGGACTTATTAAAATGCTTTAATAGTTCCTTGGTAAGTTATTGTTAGCATTAAGTAAGTTCCTTATGCTTCCATCATGTACGTCCATAGCACTACATGTGTAGCTCAATCGACACATAAACGATTCAAAAAAATGATAGCATACATACCGTGTAACAAACCTGGTCACTCCAATTCAACGTTTCACCTCCTTTCATAACGTATATATCTTGTCAATGACATTTAGGCTATGGAAACACCACAGCAAGCATGTCGGGTTCTATTTCTTTGATGGTTTATATCGTCTGCCTCTGTCAAAAGTTTCAATAGTTCTTTCAAACTTCACGAGGTGCGATGACATATGAGTTCACTTTTACAGGGTTGTGTTCGACCAAGTTTAACATTATACCCAAAGCTTGACAAAATCTTCTCCTGAGTTTTAAGTTTGTCTTTAAGTTGTTGTAGTCGTTTCGAATTATCTGCAACAGAACTTAAGTCTCTGCTAACTTCAGGGTATGTTGTTGTTCTTTTACAGCGAACTATTGTTATACCATCTTGTGCTTCGTATGGTTTCCCCACTTCAACATCTCTTTCTTTGACATTGACAACAACACTTTGACTGTTTGTTTGAGTTGGGAATTTAACTTCACATCTGCCACCGCCATTAAACCTTTTGAAACACTTTACGCTTCTATTTTTCGGAAATGACATTTTACTTCAAATAAAAAGATGGACGTATTTGAGTATCTCTTCGAATATGAAGCAAACAAAGTTTACACACACAAACAATACAAATACATTGACAGAATAGTTCTTTATACAAACAATGGAAAATGTTATAGAATAGCAAGTTTTGCTTGAAACCAAAATATTTTCATAAAGCAAAGGAAAGTTGGTATAACGAATGGTGAAAGTTCTTTAAGCAGACAAAAATATAACAACAAAACTTACAGATATTCTAAAGGTAAGTTTATAATTACAATATTATGTCAAAACTGGCGTACTGTCAATATTTGACGGAGAGAAGTCAGTTTCAAGAACAACTTACTGACCTGCTGTCCCAAAATCTGCTCGATGGAAGCTGTCGTTATGCCAATCTGAGGAGCCCCAGCAGGTTTCATCGAACGAATTTTCAAAAGAGCATCTTTCCGCTGAAAGTGCCTATTGGTTTTTGTAAACTTCTTTGCTTCAATTCATCTGGACCGTCTCTGTACCAGTATATTGTATTTGTACAGTACCAACAGTTGAAATACCACCCATAAAGTCTTCTGAGGCAGCAAATGGACATGCCAAAGCCAAAAGTTTGAACGGTCTTCCATTTGTATATTGAGTTTTTGAGCTCTCTGTATGGGTCCATACTTTCAACATATGGCATAATAGAACTTTTGCATTTCAGGGTTAATGGGTTGTTGTGAAGTTTGTTGTTAAAGTTCATAGCATTCTAATGTCAAGTTGTATGACCTCATATCCTCAACTGTAGAATATTCTTCTCTTGGATAATATTTGCCATCTATGTTTATATGATATTTAATACCAGGGTGTAGAAAGCAAGAATAGTCATTTATAGTTCGTCCTGAACAGTACAAACATAGTACTGCATGTTTCATTGCAGTTGTTAAAGCAATATCTGTTCTTGCACCTGCGCGTCAGCACTTTGGTTTGCCAACTTCACCTGCAAAGTCTTTGAACAGATATTGGTGTATAGGGAACATAGTGGAACTGCAATATATTGGCAGCTAAGCATTTGAAATATCTGGGTCCAACATATAGACTGCAAGTCTGCTTTCTATTCTCTTGCATGTCAAATTTTTCGCATGTAGAACTTCTGGTCCCAAGCATCTCCAGCAGCATTGAAATAATAGTTTACTTCAGTGGTTGAGGTTGAGAACCAAAAGTTCTAAGTCAACTTTGTTTTTGCAAAAGTCGGCGAATGACATTTTATTTGTTCCCACTACTTCTTAAGAGTGAATGGGTCTTGTGTTGTGCAATGACTAAAGTTTATTTTTGCTGTGGAGTAAGTTCAATAGAAATTTTTCCTGCCCAGTTTGGCAAGTATCATTAAAAACCTGAAGATGAGGAAAAGATGAAAAGAGGAACTCTAAGTTTCAGTTTTACTTTGGTTACTGCTGCTGCAGTGTTTTGTCCAGAAAGGTTAACATAACTTCCTCCTGGAACGTTAGGGTCAAGTCTTCTTATTTTCTCAATAGTTGCATAACTGTGTCTGTTTGTTCTCTAGCTTGTGGTTTGTACTGAGTTTCTCAAAGCGAACCATTCATAGTTTGCCCATGTTACTGTTTGAACTAAAGTCAGAGTTTAGAATATATCTTATATCCCATGAAAACTTCTGGAGCATTATTGGTATCCGACATAGAAAATTCCATTGCAACCTTTCTTGTCAGACAACTTGGCAGAAGGTTTTATTTCAATGTCTTGTTCCACGTATAAGAAAGAGTTGTCAATAGAAATTAATATGAACCTGTCGCAAGCAATATCTACTGTTGTTGAAGAACGTCTCCAACTCACCTACGTTTCCATAAGAAACAGCAGTTGTATATTCGTAAGTTCAGGAACTATTTCTGACCTTCTAATGGCATTGTCGCATTCGTATACCATTCGGAAACATTTCCATTCATAGCATCCAAAATCTGGTGGCGTTATATTCTGAGCGCGACGTACATTTCATATGAGTAAAAATATAGAATAGTTTGGAATTTTATGTCATAATAGAACCCACGTGGACCAAGCTTTACTTTCTTCCTGACTGAGTTTTTAACTCTTCTTTTTCCTTCATTCCTCTGCTTGAAGTTGTTGCAATCTTTGCATTATGTTCATCTAGTATGTTGCAAATTCCATGTCCTTTTTGCCTTTTGGACTCTGGTCGCCCATCTCAGGTAACCTATATCCTAGAAAGAGTTTTGTCATAGTCTGTATTTGAGTCTCGCGTATTGTTTGCCAT